ATCCACCTCATTCATATATACAATAATAATAATAGTAATATGTAAAATATGAATTACGATATTCTCTTTTTATATCCTCCTCAACATTTAGTTCTGTACATACATATATACATACATGTACATATATACATACATGCATACATACATAGATACTCATATGCATACTAGCGCATACCTACGTACGTACGTGGTGTAATACATACCGAGCATACATACATTTCTACATATATAACATATATAGCTTGCATATGTACATAATATTCATAAAATATTTAACATTACTAAATTATAAACATATATGTAAGTCCTATGATAATATGTTCAATAGACATATACAATAAATATATTTTTATATTTATGTATATCATCTATGTATACTCTAAGAAAATAATAAACACGAAACGTAATATACGGCTTGCTCTAATGCTTTTTGCCAGAATATACAAGCAAATTTTTACTTTTATATATTTTGCATATTGAACAATTGAATTGCCCCTCGCTCATGTAAAATTTTCAGATTGTAAACTGAATCCTTTTATGAATCCTTCCATACCCAAAAACAACAGCAGCTGAATGCTTCGAAGCATGCCTCACCTCAAGTTGGTAGAGTGTTTTTCTAAAATATTCATAAAATACAATAAGAGTAAAGAGTTGTGTCTGGCAAACAATTAAAGTATGTTTGAATTTGATTAAAGTTGAAATTTATTTTGATTTTGCTTTTGATATTTGTGGGAAACAAAATCCATGCGGCTTTAACTTTGCTAACAGTGAGGAAATATTTATCTTTTAACTAACTTTCAAGCGATGCGGAAATGAGCTTGGATATAATTTAGTCAAACTTGAACGTAATTAAATGCTAAGCATCCGACAGCCGAGATATCCAACATCCGACGTTGCCTACGCTATGCTAAAAATAGATTCGTAGAGCTCTCGCTTTCAAAAATAAATGCAGCTACTTAACTGTACTTAACCTTTTATGCTGCGCGAACAGGTATTTGATTAACAAATTCCGTAAATGCTTTACTTTTGCGGCTGACAAAGTTACTATTTGTATAAAAGGTGAAAAAAACCTGGATTTTTTTCAAATAAATATTTCAATTATTTTACTTTTTTCACTTAATACTAATTCACAAAAGAGAAATGGGTATATTGGTTTTGTGTCGCACATTCGTTGGTTTATCTGTATGAATGCAAACAATTTCGATGCTATGGAAGCTAGATCTAGAGACTACTTTGCTGTATAATATATACATATATACGAATTGGGGGCGTGGCTAATCGAGTATGGAACTGGCAGCGTTTCGGCCGTGAATGAGTATACGGCAGTCAGTAATGTCCGACTGCAACGCTCTCACTTGCTTTTGCCTGTTTTTTTTTTCGCCCTTTTTTAAAAACATTTTTTGATCTATTTGTGGCACTCGAATTAAAATCATCTGGATACCAATGAAGCGACTAAATTTAATTAAATCAAATTTAATTGAATAAAGTTGCAATAGAATTTTTTTAGCTCCTTTTTTTTTTTTTTTTTTTTCGTTCATCCACAATTTGATTTCAATTATTTAAATGGGCTGCAATTGTTAATCAGCTAGCAGCTGTTAATTTTGTAATTTCACAAAACTCGCTAGTTTTATTAAGTGTTTTTTAAATATGCACGCGCTCTCGACATTTTCCAAATTGCCAGCGAACAAAGCGAATTTTTTAAGTTGTAATCAGAATTTTAATTAATTTGGCTTTTCAGCTGCTGTTTTGAGGGTTTGTTGTTGTTGCTGTTGTTGCTTCTGTTGCTGCTGCTTCTGTTGCTGCTAAACCAATTAGCAATCCAGATGATACAAAAGTTTAGCAATTTTGTCTGAGGAGTTAGGTTTTAGTACGAGTTCTATGTGAACTGACGACTGACGACTGACGACTGTCGGTGTCGCTGTCGTATACGCAATGCGTCAATTGTTTCACCATGCTCTCGTCTCTAATAGCCGTTGTTGTTGTTGCTGTTGATGTTGTTGTGGTACTTGTTGCTATTGTCGTCAAGATTGCATTGCCTTGCGGCTGTTGCCGTCTGTCGTCCGTCGTCTGTCTTGACTAATTTATATGTGCATATTAAATTAGCCCGAGCGGCGCAAAGTGTTGCGCTTGGAATTAGTTCACACCCAAAGACAGAAAAGCACACACACACACACACACACATACATATAAAGATACACGTACACACCCATACATGTGCAGAAAACGTTTCAATCTGATGGCTTTTATTATTTAATTGACAGTCTCGTGCGCTTGTTTCCGCTTGTTTCTCAGCCGCATTGCCATTTGGCACGCTTCAAAACGGAATTGAATTAGCGTCGGCCAACACCAGCGCAGATCTGTACGCAATTTGATAATTAACTCAGCTCTCATAGAATGTATGCAATTTTTGATGATGACAAAGAAGAACAAGAGGAAAAGACTTTAAAGCTTAATCGATTGAGTGAAGATGAAGTACGAAAGTAGGAAATATTTTATGGAAACAAAATTTGTTTACTATATACAACTAAAATAAT